AGGACCCTGCAGACTTCCATGCGATCACAATACATCCTTTTTTGCATTTGACAGGAAAACACATGTAGTTTTACATTTCTCCCAAGAAAAAACTGGTACATGGAGACAACACTGGCAATTAGGATGCCAGTGTTCTTTTACAAACTAGTTTTGAAGCTTCCTGATCTATAGTCTATCCTTTAGCAAGGTCACAGTACATAAGCTTCCTACTACATAAGCTTCAAGTACATACAGTGAAAACCCAGCTTTCCTGGATTTTATTTTCCTTCATCCCTTCATGAACACAGTCAACATAATAAAGTATGAGTTGGAGTTTCTTATTTTTCCCCCAAGGTGATGCCAACTATCTATTAGAGTGGATTACCACAGTTAGTAGAAATTTGTAAACAGAAATCAATACTGTGTACTTCCCCAGAAACATACAATGGAAGAACCAGTATGGTTAAATGTTCAAAATGCAGTTTTATGTCAAGAATATAATAAAATGGTTTTTATTCCCAGACTTGCCAAGGAGCTACTAAAGGATTCCCAGCACTACACCTATGAGACAAACAACAGTCATGAAGTCTTTTAAATGCAAAGGATCTCAAGCTTAACAAGATATGGAAATGCAGTGAATACTGGAGCACATGTCACAAATGATAGTTTAGCACAACCTTTCCTATAACTTATTTCTTCAGCTTATCTCCCCCAGGTAGTGTAACTATAGTTTGTTAAAGAATAAAAAAGAGCTAGAAGCAGGGTATGAATGAACTGCAAACAGAAAGAAAGCGTGATGGATCAATTTCTAAGTTAGCCACCCTTGTTCACTCAGTCTATCACTCTAAGCAATTTCCCCCGATGGAGAAATCTAGTTTCAGCTTTAGAGCTTTTTTAACTCCTGAAGTTGTTCTGTCACATAAAAATAAAGTCACCCAACAGACAAGAAAATAAAATCAATGATAATAAATTCAGTTCTTTTCCATTTTCTCATTTTGAAGTACTCTAATTAATCTACCAAGATAGTCAGGAATTGACATGAATGGCCCTCTCAGTTTCATTTCCACTGGAGCAGAAGTTGCTTTGTATCTTACTGAACAGCATCCTCAGGTTGTTCCCTAAGCATGGAAACACGGAACACTAATGTTATATATGTAGCACCCAGCCTGAACTGCAAAAACAAACAAACAAACAGCAGAATGCAAACACTGGGATGAAAGAGGATGAATATGGGAATAATATATTCAGAGGAGAAACTAGGCTTCAGCACTATTTTTAAACCTTCAGAAATATTTTCACAGAAACAACACTTGCTTAACTTTTGACATGGTGAACAGATTCAACGATGCACCTGTCTAAAGGCATTAATCTCACACATACGTGTCTAAACTCCAGTAAAAGATGCTTCAAATGTGCAAAAACTACATATGGTAGAGCCCTTTCTACAGGTGAGAGGATTCACCATTTTCTGACAATTTGTGCTGTCAAGCAAGGAGTCCAGCAATGCTGTTGTCCCAGTTCTGTAGAGAATCATGTACCTGTGGCTCTCTGCTGCTCCTTACTTAGATCTAAACATGTAACAATTAGATCTAATGAAGCCCTTCCTGGACTACAGCACGTTTCACAAAGGGGCCAGAGATTTATATATTTACTATACATTTGATTTGCTCCGATAAGCAAAGTTCTCTTGGTGGTGTACAATACATTAAAATTGCAGTGCAAACTTTAAACAGTGCAGAATAAAACCAGCAGCAAAGAATAAAACCATCATGGCACTGTGAAAAAAAATTAATACCAACAGCAGGATAAAGTACTAACAGCACTAAATATAGTTCTTATAATGCCTGGTTGAATAAAAAGGGTCAGAAAGATCACAATGTAGACACCAGGTGAGCCTCTCTGGGGACCGTATTCAACAAATGTGGTGGCACCACTAAAAAGGCTCTCTCTTACAGCCACCTGTGCCACCTCATTTGGCGGGGGCACCTGAAGGAATGTCTCAGGCTGTGGTCTTACTGTTCAGGTAAGTAAAACACTACTCTCAATCTCATTTAAAAATATAAAAGCTATTATTATATATAGGCAACCAACATGTCAGAGCAGATTGCGGGTCCAATTCCTCTCAACACACCAATTTTCCATATGCAGGGTGCTTTGTTTCTGTTCTTAAATACCCCAACAGAGGGAAGCACTGTGATATACAATTTCTCTACCTCCAGTCTGACTGAGTACATCCAAGAAGCAATTTACTATATGTTTAAATATTTGAAGCAGCCCTTAGTCCTATGTTGTATTGGGTATTATAAATATAGGTGCATTTACAAATTAGGTCTAAGGTAATGTTGCCAAAGAGTTGCACTTTCCTTGCACGGGATTTCACTACAATGGTATAGTGTAAGTCAGCCTTGCTGGAACCTAGCCTGATTACAGACTCTCCTGTACATTGCCTTGAAAATATAAATTACAATTAATGACTCACCGGGGCACAAAAAGTTTAAGACCAAACTAAACTTTACTCACTACACCCTAGGCTAAACAAAGCATATGGAAAAACTTGGACCGTGTCCATGTAATGTGGGATTGGGAGTCCTTCATAGGTCACAAACTAGAAGAATTACACACAGTTACAAGTGTCTATTCTATCATGTGTAGATATTGCTGGGATCAGAGTGCCCTGGTTTTTGAGGCCACTATATCTCTATGCAGTGAAATTAAACCTGGATAGTGTCAGAAGTCTGTAGTGGCCAGCTGCTTTAACTATTGCATGAATCCTTCAGTTAGAGGGAAAAGATGGGTATGTATTGTATTAGGCCTGCATCTTCCAGAAGTTGCTACTGTAAGCACAAATTGTTGGAACCAGTTCCACTGCAAGTAGTGGTCTGCTTTCAAGTAGATGTACTTATGATTAAGGTTTTCTGTGTATGCAGACCACTTGCATCACTCTCTCACCAACATATCCTCCACATAACTATCATACAGCTTTTGGCTGATGCATAACAGCATTACTCTAATTCATAAAAAATGGGTTTTCTTACATGGAATGTTAGAGCAGTGCATGTTATGCTCTGTATGCTAAAACGTTTCCCAGGCTACTGGCAGCATTAAACCTTGTAAAATTAGTGACTACAGAAACTGTACCTACATAGAAGCGCATTCTTGTCAGTGAAGAATTTTACATTAGACTTCTACTTTCCAAGTGGATTCAGCAAAGGCAAACCTATCAGCCCTAACAGTTACAGACTTTTAAACACCTTTTATGATGACAGCAAATTTCTCCAGAACAGATATAATCATTCTACTAAAACCCACATGGGACCATTAAATAGACATCACTCTGGCCCATTATATAGACTAGGAGAGGCCTAGTAATAGCATTGCTTTTTAAGAACCAATAAACTGCCTGGCTTTTACTCCTGCAAAATAAATTCTAAATAGCCTCAGTTGTAGATCCTGCCTCCTTCTCATTCCTTTCATTAGGGGAGATGTTTCACTTGCTTTATGCAATGTATAAGCTTCACTCACAGAAAACACTTTCCTAAATTGTATGCAAGTAGTGTTTCCTTCCACCTCCCATGGATGGGTCACAAATGGTCTCCTAAGAAAGCTTCAGGTTTCCCTGCGCAAGTTCCTCTTCCACCGTAAGCTGCGTCTAACAGTTAGAAGCAAGTGTGTGATGGCACCATTCTAGTTTCCACTGCAGCCAACTGTAGAATTATCCCATATTCAGGACTGATGGATTCAGGGGCATCTGCAGCTACAGATGCAGATGGAGACAACAAAGCCCGGGTATTTTCGAGTGCAAAGGGAGGGAGGGGGAGCTAAGGTTGGAAACTGAAAGAAGACAGCAGAATACAATGGTGCAGAGTTGTTTTTCAACTGAAAGCCGGAGTCCCGCAGGAGGCATCAGCAGCACTTGTAAAATGGGTGGAAAGGGGCTGGGCTTCGTGTAACTTTGTGGCACTGTAATCGCACGCATCCAAAAACAACAGTGGGCAGCAGCTGTGGATGTTACCTATCTACCTTCCCCCAGAGCCACCCCTAAAACATTAATTTATGGCGCCAAGTGGATGCGATGCGGCGATAGCAGGCTTGCCATCCACATCCCAGGCGGGTGGCGAACTGCGTGGCGCTCTTCAGAGAAAAGTGAGCGCTCCCGACGGAGTTCCCGGAGCGTGGGTTTAAAGATCACTTACCTCGCCATTTCGGAGGGGAGGGGAGCAAGGAGGACAGCCAAATTGTTAAGGAGGCCTCATCTGTTCAAGTGAGGCCATTTTTGTGAGGAAAATGTAACAACATGTCAACCAACCGGCCCCCCGGGAAGGACAAAACGCATGGCTACAAAAGTTCATGAGAAGTTACCTTGAAATGACTTTTGCTGGAACCTGCCCACTCAAGTCCCAAGTTTGAAAGAGAAAGTGCATCCAAAGCAATCGCACAGTCACTGAGTCAAGAAGCCAAATGAAAGGGAGGGAGGGAGGAAAAGGGGGCTCCCTCTTTCCCTGACACACAATACGCCCAGGGAGGAAGAGAGCGAAAGAGGCAGCACTCAGTTCCTGCACCCGACGCCGAGGAACTTTTCGCGAACGCGGCGAGGCTGCAGACGCAAAATGCAGGCGGGTGGGCAGGCGCCCCCTTCCGGGCCCAGGGCTGCCCCGGCGCGGCGCGCACCTCCCCCGGGCCGCGGGAACTTGCGCGGAGCGCGGCAGGCGCGCCAACCGCGCGCAGAGTTGGCGCTCCTACTGCGGCGGCGGCTCCAGCCAGCACATCTGAGCGAAGCGCTCGCCGCTCGCTCCCCCTCCCCTAGCGCTGCGCTCCGCCTGCTTGCCTGGCGGCGGCGGCGGCGGCGGCTGCTACTGCCGCCGCCGCCGCCGCCGCTACCGCCCTCCCTCGCCGTCTCCCGCATCAAACTTCAGGAGCCGAAAAAAAACCTTTCCGGCGGCCGCGCAGGCGGCAAAACGCGCCTAGCAGCTGCCGCGGACGCCGCCCTACCCACAAGGGCACGCATCCTGCGCCCGCCTTACCTACGGGGAGTTTTTCCAGCCCTGCGCCGCTGCCGGGGCTCAAGCAAGGCTCGCCGGCGCTCCGCTCACCGCCTCATTCCAATATGGCACGGTCGGCCCAAGCGCATGCGCCCGCCGTCGCTCTCCCCGGTCCCCTCCCCTCGCTCCTGGCTTTTTGGGCGCTCGCAACACACTCCCTCGCGCTCGGACACGCTGAGCCCTGGCGCGGCTCGGGTTGGGCTTTGCTCGGCGGCTCCCCGCAAAAAACGAAGCCGCCGCCGCCGCGCCGCCTCCTCAAACTTGCTCGTCCGGCGCTTTGGGCGCCGAGAGGCGGCGCGAGCCCCCGCCCGTCGCAGCGCCACCCTGTCCCCGAGGATTTCCCGCGGGGCGCGCACCTGCCTCTAGTTATTACGCGCGCAATTGGGGAGGTTGCGCGTTGGCTTGCCTCGGACTGGGGCGGGGGAGAGAAGGAGCTGAAAAGAAGCACAACCTTCAGTGTGTTGGAATGAAGTGTGTGCGGGGGGGGGGAGGCAGCTGAATGGCTTTAGGAGACAGGCAGGCGCTCAGTCAGCTCAGCTCTCCATCCAACGCGTTGGCCTCCCATGCTTGAGCCATTACCAACTTGAGCCTGTTTACTTGCACAGAAACCGGCTGACTCTGGTATGAAGCCGGGTTAAGTGCAAGAAAGACTGCGGCTAAAGCGGTTTATAGCTCGCAGTCATGCCGTTCTCCCTTGGCGGCCAAGTTGATTTTGCTACGAGAACTCACGACTTCCTCCCCGTCGTCTCCCCCCACTCCCGTTTCTTGGCCCAGAACTGACAGCGCCATGGGTCGTCCGGCACAAAACTGGCGCCCGCGTCGCCTTTCCGAAGGTCTCTCTGCCGTTTCCACTGCAATCTGCCCCGCATCCCGCAGCCATTTGCCCTCCTCCTCTCCCCCCCACCGCGAAAAAGATGTAGGACGGAAGCGCGGCCCAAGTGCGTACACTGTAGTAGGGGGTGGCGGCAAAAGAGACGGCTGGGTGCTTGCCGCTGTTATGCATTGAAAGGCGGGATAAATTAAAATACCCCGAACCGAAATTAAAATGCATCGGAAAAAAATAGATGGGGAAAGAAAAGGAAAGGATTGTGCAACGCCGAGAACCTCATGACCACGCGCCTGTGCAATCAGAGAAGAGTAATAAAAGCGAGCGACTTTCACGCAGCTTAAAGGCGACGGGAGGCGAAAGAGGGACACCAATTCAGCCGGCAGCCAACTGGATCCTTGCAAGAACCTCTCTTTGGAGCAAGGGGTGGGGAATGAGATCTTATTTCGAGGACCCTCCCTCCGTGATCGCTCCTCTTTCCGAGCAAGCCGTCGCCATCCACTGCTCTGGATTTTCGCATAGGCTCGAGAGCTGTATTGACTGTAGATCTCTGGCACAAACCTACCCCCCCCCCTCCGCTTTCTCTTTTAACCCGTTCCGTGCACACCGGGATTTATATGTCTAAGTAACGTCGTCCGGTTCGCTGCCTGCTCCACGCGTTCCAGACACCAGTTGATAGCAGGAGGAAATCACCGGTCAGCGTGCGGGAAAGTCAGAGGAACTCGGCAAGCGGTCATCCTTGGGCTCGGGCGGAAGCAAAGGGATGCGCCGAGAAATATATAGCCTAAGCCCTGCGAGCTCTCTAGACAGGAAGAATGCCGTGCAAGGCGAAGCGAGGAGGAGTGCAAGCAGCGCAGGCAAATTGTCGCCATGCGGCTTAGGGCTGGCCAGCTGCGCCTTTGCAGGCAGGCGGAGGAGGAGGTTGCCCAGACCGTTCTCTCCGTTTGCCGGGGAAATGCTCGGCCGTTCAGCTGCTGGCGAACGTAGCGAGGACTTTGGGTGTGGGAGAGTGACTTTCGGCACGGAGGGAAAGACCCCCCACACACACACCATATCTCGGCCAGGTCGTCATAAGATGCCGCTCCGTTATTTGGAGGGAAGATGTGCTCGGTTTTAGTGCTGATTTTAATTGTGCTAAGTCTAAACGAGCGAACACGTTTACATTTGCCCAAAGGATATATAAACGGTGATACTTTTAGTGTGGGACATCCCGCACTCCGGCATTAACCAAACTTAGGAGCTCGAACGGAAGAAAGAAGACGCGGCTGCTTTGCATGGGCTGGCGAATTATCTTTTTAGGCGGTCTCTTTGCACAAAAAGGAGCCAGCGCGAACTGCAGTCTGCTTACAGTGAAATTCTCTGCCTAAAGGGGAAAAAGGTGGGGGGAGATAAGCAAGTTAACTCGGAAAGTAAAATGCCATGTCAGACCACTAGAGGGTGGTCCGTTCATATGCTTTGTACGGAAAACTAATAAACGAAAGATTCTGGAATTTAATATTTACGCCTACAATCCTAGGAACGTTTACTCGAGAGAAAGCCTTATGGAGCATTGTGGGACTTACATCAGAGTACTTATCCGAAGACCCAGGCTGTGGCATGTATATAATCCTTTAAACTCGTATTTCAGTGCTAGGGAATAAAAAACGGGATAATAAAAAGGGCATTCTGAGTACACACAAAAATACACAGACTCTCTTCCCAAATAAAGCCAGTTGGAAAAAAAATACTGATTTCATGAAATAGTAGATTTAACATGGGTGATCACTGAATTCACTTCCTTCAAAATGTTTTTTCACCACAATCCTATACATGTTGGCTCAGAAGAAAATTGCATCAAATTACTCATTTAAATTTACAGGTGGGCAAAGATTTGAGCCTTAAGTAACAAGTATATGACATTATCACGGGTAGGCAAGGTGATGATGTAAACTTTTTGGGTTCAAACACATGGGGGGGGAGACACAGCAAGCCACCTAATTACAGTATAAATGGTGAACAAGCTTCACTATATCAAAATGTTTCTCATCTCTCATTATTTAAGTAGATTTTTACTCTAATTAAAGTATACTCTGTGAATACTTACTGGAAAATAAGGCTGCTATCTTATTATACACTTCACTTTTATACCACCTGACAGTTGAAATTTATTGTACAATTCATGGAGTATGCAAAGACAATATTCAAATTTCACTACAAAAAACTGAATTAACAAGCAAGTTAATACCACTGAACCTGTCAAAAACACCTGACATAAGCCCCTCTTCTGCTAAAAGCCCTAACATACCTTGGTATAGAGGGCAGTTTTAACCCTCCCAGCAGAATATCAGAATTCAGTATAGCTGAAAGAAGGGCAGTTGGGGGGATGAATCTATAATGAGGGGGCACCACTGAGAAGCCCCTTCCCCTTGTAGCAACCAACTGAGTCTCCTCTAAAGGTGGCACTCAGAAGAAGACCTCAGATGTTGAGTTTAGGCACTTTAGGTTTAAGTGTATCCCACTGAGTTGTGTGGGACTTACTTCTGAATAAACGTGGATGTGATTGGACTTTGAAAGGACACAGGAAGAATTGCTTCCTAGTACAATATGGTAAGACTTTGGTTGCAAGTGTAGTTAAGGACACAGATAATGATTACACTGAAGAGGGGACAAATATAGTACAAGAGACAGTTCTATTATAACTTTATCAAAATAAAGCAGACTTCTCTGGGCAAACTTTCCCCTATTTTTATACTGCAGATGCTCACTTGGCATTTTCCTCCCCTTTTCATTAAAGATAACAAGTTGCAATCCCTTCAATAAAATCAAATACAAAGACTTCTCTGGAAATAAATCAATGTTCTTGTTCAAACCTGTGAAGAACATATTTAGGAAAAGCTGATTAGCTGAGCTAATTATTTTAAGTGACTAAAAAGTGTCTAATTTCTCTTAACTCTGCAGTCCTTATGTACATTAGATAAGAAAATATGCACAGAAGTTTGGTCTTTTGCTTTTATTAATGAGACCTTTTCTATAGAAGATCAACTTTTTTCTGTTTTGCCACACATGGTCAATATTTTAGGCTGTAGAGCAACATGAAATCTTAAGTATCTTTCAAACAGCTTCCTGAAGATCTTATTTTCAAATAGCTCTCATGGTAATAATATTGATCAATAATATTGATCAATAATATTTATCAGTCTTACAATTAGAAAGAAGGTGTCTCTGGAAAGCCCAGTGGTCATATTACCCAAGTAAACCCCAGATTGCATGGGAGAAGCTCACAGTTTTGACTGGGTTTGCACTGTCCAAACAAACCACCATAAGTGGTGAGCTGTGCCATGTGCCAGGTGTAATTTCCATGACAGTTGCCCTGCTGCAGCTTACCTGGGGTTCATGGTTTGTTGGGGCTTATCCAATTAGCCCCAGACTGTTACAGGGTTATTTGAGAGGTATATAACCCTCCAACACATTTTGCCAGCTAGATGACATGGCAAGTGGTGGCCAAGCCACCATGGTCTGCATTGTTCTGATTGTGCAAACTGGGCCTAAGACACTTGCCCACCACACTGCCAACCCTTGAAAACCCAGCTTAAAACCCATGTGTGTGGCATCCACAGTGGGGTGAGAGCATCCATCTATGCTGTATTAATCTGAGATATTTCTGCATACAGCAATCCCAAAATAGAGTTCCACCAATGAAACACAGTAAAATAATAGATCAACAAAAATGAAAGGGGGATAGTAACAGATAAATTAAACATTACATGATGCTGAAAAAGAAGAGAGAGGAAAGCCCTGGGTAAACAAATAGATATTTAGTTGGCACCAAAAACTGACTTGGTGCCACCCGTATATGAGAGTTCAAGGAGGTGCCTGGATGAAAAGTGCCTGGGGCTTCTGGGGCTTCTGAAGTTACCCAAGAGTGAAGGAAAGGGCAGTGCTGCTTTAGCCGGGCCACGGGGTGCAGTCCTGCACAGTACAAGCAGAGCAATTGCACAAGAGGAAGCCCGTGTGGCTCCCCTCCCATGCCAGCAAGACCCCTTTTCCAAGGGATCATCCTGCCAGTGTGCAAACAGAAATATAGAAACAGAGAGAGTCAGAAGGGGTCTCCCAGGCCATCTAGTCTGACCCTCGCCTCTAGCCGGCTCCGCTCATGACATGCCCACCATGTGCATCTCCAGCCTATCCTTGAACACCCTCACCGATGGGGCCTCAACTATCTCCTGTGGAAGCCCATTCCATGCCCTTGGGGT